TTCAGATGCATATGGCAGCATTAATGATGGTCATGCCTTAAGATTATAGTAAAACATGGGTACATGGATGCCAACATGTGTCATAACATGTCATAAAACTCGAAAGCTATAAAGCTGCAGTTTAGTCAATATGTAACTTGCTTTCTTTAGCTCAAAATTCCCAGGGAAATGCATGCGCTGATAAAATGCATACTTGGACTGCAATGCATGTTGCTTTGGATAAATGCATACCTTTGTAAACATTCCAAATTCATAAATAAATTAAAACATTTTCGGGCAACATATTTGTGCTCCTGACGCAAAGGCTGTTATAAAACACTAAGGGGTCAAATTATGCTGATTTTAAAGAATAAGGGCCAGATTTACTAACAGCTTGTGCCAACGCATTCCCTCTCTTTTGGCTTTAAACACTGCTGTTAGGGTTTACTAAAGACACGCAGTGAAAAATAAGAGATGAAAAGGCATGAACAGTCATTTTTGCAGCTGATCTTATTGCATATGCATTTGTAGGAGTATTCCTTTCAGGCGCAAAATTTATGGGAGGAGAGTATTTAAATGAATCACGCAACATGATTTACTAAGGTTTGCGCTAGTCAATTTACTGGTGTTTGTGCCTTTATTTACCGCCCAAAAAAGCCTTTCTTATTGGTTTTGCACCTGTATTGGAAGTAGATTACACACACCTTACTATCATTGGCTCTGTGTGTTTGCACTGCTCTTGGTAACTTGCGTTGGTCATTGTGGAAATGATCTGACTGCATTTGAGTTCTTTGTTTTGTGCATTGTCAGTAAATCACCCACAGAACTTTCCACTCCCATCGGCGCTTTTATGGGATTGTGCTCTCATGCTAATTTGCACTGTTTAGTAAATCTGGCCCTAAATGTTTGTAATATAAGTGTGTGTGTGTGTGTACATGTTTGGCTCTTGTAGCAGTACGCACAGTCGTTTTATCCCCGACTCGGGCTGAAAGTTGGAGCGCGAGCTTGGCCTGAGGGTTGGAGACGCATCTGGGAGCAGCGTGTCTGTTTCCTCTTCCTGTTCGTCACTGCAAACGTGATCAAAAAATAAATCAGCAATTCATATTTTTGATTTTTCTCACACTTGCGATTTCATATGACAATTTGGACTTTTTTTCTCGGAATTCTGAGTTTACATTTCATAATTCAGTTTTTTGTTTCTGCCACAAAATAAAAAGTAAAAAAGGCAATTGTGACTCACAATTTTTTTCTCGCAATTGCAAGTGTACAACTCAACTCAATTTTCGGAATTCTGAGTTTAAATTCCGTTTTTTTGTTTCTACCATGGAATAAACAGTAAAAATGGTAACTGCGACTTTTTATCTAAATTCTGAATATTTCTTGTGATTGTGAATGTATATCTCACAATTCTTTTTTCTGGCAATTGTGAATTCGTATCTCACAATTCTCACTTTTTTGTCAGAATTGCGAGAAAAATTTTTTGCATTTACCTTTTCTATTTTTATTAAGCCGTGCGAAAACAAGCTTTCATAAATATAGTGTTATTTAAAAGTAATGGTATATAACTAATATATTTCATAAATTATTTTTTTTTTCATTTTAAAGAGATATGACTGATTGGCTTAAAGTTAAGTATTAAGATGGTTGACCTTTTGTAATATGCGATTTCCTCTTGCAGCATGAAGACTTTAGCTTTCAGCTCATTGCGCTCATGCAGGACGTCACGCAGCTCTTGCAGGGTAAATCGTGGGCGGTTCGGGTCTTTTGGATCTATAGAGGACATGTCGTCATCACACAGCGCCTCCTGGTGGATGACAGGAACACACAGTCATTTACAGTAGCTTTTACACTGAGCAACTGGCTGCTGAGGAGGTTTAAACTAGAGTCGCGCAAACAGTTTCATTATCAGAGCATCCACAAAACAACACAAACATCACCTGGGGCCGGCTGCATAAACCGTTTAGACTAGTCTTAAAAAGTTAGTCATCTAATTCTTTTTCTTAAAGACTGGTCATAACTTTTTTAATTCAGTTATGAAAAGGTAGATTGGTCTTATTTGTATTGAAAAAGTAAGACTGATTACCCCTTGATAACTGCTTGTTGGTCAAACTACTTCTTTAGACACAGTCTTAACATGGTGGCTAAGTTTATGCAACTGGCCTATGATTTCACTGCTGTTAATGTACAACAGTATATGATCAGTGCTTTATTTTACAATAGACCGCAACCTCTCTGTTATGATCCATCATCATATGATTACGATCATCGAGTTAACATTTGATTCAGTCACATGGTTTGCATTCAGTACAAACACTTGCACACATGCAGGCTGCTTTAACAATGAAAGACTTTCACCAGTCGACACTCTTCACAATGAGTGTGTACCTGTGTAAAGGACTGAAGTCATTAGTGCACTGCTCTTACAGTCTGCTGTATGTTGGTACAGAACCAGTCGCACACTCTGCGCGGTTGTTGTCACCCTAGCGTGACTCGTGCAAACAGACAAAGATACGGGTCAGGTGTTAGTTTACAATCCATGCTATCCTTAGAAGCTGCCGCTGCAGGGTTACCCATGAAAACGCAGCCTCTTCATCGTCCTTCTCCTCCTCACCGTCATCTGTCAGGGCTCCTAGGGCCCCGGTGTGGGGGATGAAATGGAGGGGACCTTCCTCTATCTCCAGGCCCCCAGCGAGGAGCTCAGAAGCTAAATCCTGACCCCAGGAAGGGGCTGCTTTAGACGACTGTAGTCACAGACATGTGGATTGCAAATTGCAACCAACATTTTATCGGGAGTGTTTGCTTGAGTGAATAATTCAAAATAATCGACTGAACAAAATGGCACAAAATCAGAGTAATAAAAACACAATCAGCAAAATTTTCAGCAAAGGAGTTTTTGGTCTTTTCACATTTCCTTGCAAAAAAAAAAAAAGCAAATTTTTTTCATGCTACATAGAGATTAAATGAAAAGAGATTAAAACTATCACTAACCATGATTTATTTATTTTTTTCTGTTAATGTGATTCATCTAAAATGTTGAATTTGATTACATGTTCCTCTAAATAGATACACTACCGTTCAAAAGTTTGGGGCTGGTAAGTTTTTTTTTGTTTTTGAAAGACATCTCACCATGGCTGAATTTATTTAATTGAAAAATACAATGAATACAGTAATATTGTGAAATATTATTGCAAATCAAAATAACTTTTATATTATAAAATATAATTTATTCATGTGATGCAAAGCTAAATTTTCAGCATCATTACTTTAGTCTTCAGTGTCACATGATCCTTCAGAAATCATTCTGATATGCTGAT